AAAACGGCTATAATGGAACCGTGCTATCTTTAATGGATCGTTCATAAAACATGAACTAGCGGAGCAAGTGAGGGTCCGCGCCATCATATTCGCAACGCTACAAATGCGCATGAACAGTAAAAACCAACACATACATAATATCAAATGAAAGAGGATTGCATTGCCTTTCGAATGACATCCACCCCACAAAACAGTAGTTAAAAGGAGATGAGTAATGACCTGCCAAAAAGTACCTAAACTGCCACATTCAGTGGGACCGTGGCCTTAAAGGGGTCATGAAACGATTTTCCTACTTCTTCCTCCTTAGCTTTAATCCTCAACTCAAATGCGAATTGTGAAATCACGTGGTCGTGACATTCCTTCGGCACCGGTGCGATGACTCCTAGGTCCCACCGTGCTTTTTACGCACACCATAGAACTTGTCATTCCCGAGTGACAATATGTTCCGTCAGGGCACTCATTGGCCACGAACGCGAATCCAAGTATTCGTCGACGAATTGATTGTTGACGAGCGCATACGTCCGAGTGACGCAGATCTCGTGTCCAATGCGTGAGCTGGGCTTTGCTGACGTCAGTTTGGCGCCGGTGACGCGCTTTTGGAACCGCGGATGTATCATAGTGAAAAGGCGGAGAGCTTTCGAATGCAAGAAGGTACAAAATAGTCCGCTATATTTTCAAATGTTCGTACCGAAAAGCTGGCTTTTGACTTTCTAGCCTCTTTTTTTTGGCCAACTAAACGATATACGATTAGTAAAGTCCCAATTTAAAATCATTCATCCCAACCCAAAATTCGTTTCATGGCCCCTTTAAAGCCGAGTGTGTCCCTTAGGAAGAAGCTGTGTGGCACACTATAAAATGACATTATAGAGGAAATGTACTTGGTTGATGTGCACTACGTTAGCCTGTCTGACTGGGGTATTATATACACCTGAGCGCTTCTATATTCATCCGTACTTTTTTTTTAAAGACAATGCCATAAAATAAGTAAAGGCGACCTCATAATTTTCCTTCATCTGATATAAGCAATACAGTCGCAACATGTGTCGTGCAAAAATGATGTAACGAAGATGCACGTAAGAGTGCCAGAATCTCATAAGTATAGTGGGGCACCTTGATCTTCCCTCCAAGAAATCAGAAGAGGCTACCTTTCCGCCCGTAACTCGGGATGGCACAATTGACTGCAGTCTACAGAGGGGGATAGGCAAATGGGAAGATTAATGAAATGTTTAAAACGAGAAAAAAAAAAAAGATTACGCTGGAACACTTTACTTGATGAAGCATGATGCTCGGCATCACCAAGGAAGCTGTTTGTTAGGTGTAAGCATTGTCCAGCCTTGTCATCCCCTGAGGTGCACTACAGCGAGTGCGTTTCCAGAGTGCTTTGCGAGAAATTAGTCTTTCCAGGTTTTTTGGAGTGTACAAAGCTACACAATAACGGGTGTTTTTATCTTCAATGTACAAATTAGCTGGTTAAAGTGAGCGGGGTACTCTCGTTTCTTACTGACGGCTGTAGCAGATGATGTGTTAAAGAAAATCAGATGAGGTAATCAAGTAATGAGCGAAGTAAGAGATAAAAAAGACGGATATTGTTCTATATAAACATAATGTGTCACACGGGCTTAAGAGGATAGGGAACCTTGTTAATGTCAACGTAGCCTTTTCTGCACCGAGTATGCTTCTGAGCTTACGCAGGAAAGTCAATGTGTCAACACAGCGTCAAGCTGGTTGTGCAAAGAAACACCAAAAGAGGTTTGTTACTTGCATCGAGGGGGTAGTTAGTTTATTCTATTGCACTCTCATTTGGTGGAGAATATATAGGACAAACCAGCAGGTTTTTTAAATGATCACTTAAGAGAACACTTCTATAGCACCCACAAAGTCGTTTCAGGACACCTGGGCATGCAGTGTTGGAATTGTGGACCTGTTCCGAATTTTGAAAAATGTTTTGTAACAGGAAGAAGTCGGGACCCGCTGACAAGAGAGATAATTGAAACTAAAAAAAAAAAAATAGCGCTTCTGGCTGACAAGTGTGTTAGCAGTCCGTCTAAAACATTGTCTCAAAACGAGCTGAAATTTTTATCCTGAAAATAGCGGTGGGGATTCAGAAGCATATTTAGAAGTGGTTCCTATATTCGTGCTGTTGTGCTGGTCATAGAAATTGAGATAGTCAGTCCAATGACGAGAACAAAAAAGCTCGAGGTACACCTAAGCATTTCTTATGAGTTGTGAATGCGAAAACATGCAAGCCGCTCGTCCGCTCCCTTTGTCGTCTGCTCGTCCGCTCCTTTTGCCGTCTGCTTGTCCGCTCCCTTTGTCGTCTGCTGCGTACTAGCGCGCGCACGCCTCGGGATCTCGAAGGCCATGGCGCAGCGGCCAATGGGAGCCCCGTCGACGCGCGCCAGCTAATGGAACCGAAGGCGCGCGGAAACTATCTGCTGTTTTCGCGCTTCCAACTGATGACGTCAGCTCGCTCCATGAGACAGTTAATGCTTTCGCATTAAAAAAGTAACAGAATACAAAACGAGTTTTAAGTCAGCGCGTGTGTTGGTCCTTTTGTGTGTTGGTGTGTAATTGATCTTGGGCTATTAACCTGAGAAGTCTTTATTTTCTTCAAGATATGCATGACCCTCGGTCGCCTTTCCTTTTGACTAAGCTAAAATGAAATCCCCTGCTCACCTGTTCGACATACCAAAAAAAATGTAATTCGGGAACTTCGACTGCAAACATCAAGGTGATATTCGGTCACGAAAATGAGTAAACAGAGGTAAATAACTAGCTGTTACATTGGTATCTGTGCGCTCGTTAGTAGCGATATGACATTTCGCAGGTGTCGCTTGGCTATCTAAACCTTATTGAACAATCTATCAATAGAACAGAATGATGATATTAAATGATATTAAAACAGCGTGAATATAAATATGTACCAAACAATAAGGTGGACGAAAGAAACAACGTCCGCTTAGCTCATTTCCAGTTACTCTTTAGTAGGAATACGTGCCATCTCTCCAATTTAACCATTCTCGTACCTCTATAAAACACGAAATACAGGGTGTCCTAAAAAATGTACATGTTTATATTTATTAATATTGCAAATATAAACTATGCACACCGAACACTCGTTTTTCGTTTGAAGGTAGAACTAGAGATCCGAACCACATGTCAAAGTTTCAGCACGAACCGCTATTTTATCCAAAAGTTACAAGTGATTACTTAAAAATGACAATAGGAAAATGGCGGCCGATGGAACTCACAAATGCATAGAGCTATGTGGTGCCACAGACGAAAAACAGGCGAAAATGAGCCCCACTGTTTCATTAAAAGTTTCGGAAAATCACTTATGACTTTAGATACCATATCGGTTCGCGCTGTAAATTTGGCAACTGGTTCGGACGTTTAGCGCTACGTTTGGGCGGAGAATAGGAAGTTTTCGTAGTCCGCGCTGCCCCCTCCGCTAAGCGTTCCGCAACGAAGAAGTTGCTACTGCGCCTGCGCGCCGATAGCCTTGACTGTGGAGTTCCCGCTATCGTAGCGGGTTGCGGAGGGCCTTGCGGGACGGCGAAAACGATCTACGAAAACTCCCTATTGAGTATTCTGCGTTGCCTAATTTACCCTCGCTATGAAAAAAAAAAAAGAAGAAGCCTGTAATGTTTTTGAGACGCTGTGTAAATATACACATGGAAACTGAAAGAGCGTAGAAGATTAGAGCGCGACGGAATGTCGAAGTACCAAGCTCTAGTTGGAATTATCCTTGAGTGAACTCAGTCGCTACTCGCTGCTCTAAAGAAAGCACCGAACGGCGGCATCCCGCGTTCGAACGCGTTTCACCAATGACAAAAGACCAAGGCAGAGAGAGTTGTATCCTCCCACTGACCATTTGAACCAGAGCTTGGTGCTCTGACGTCCCTTCACTTCTTTCTTTCAGCTTTTATGCCCTATAGACAAGAGTGTTTTAGCCTCGCAAGCAGAGGCGAGTGGCGCTCTACTCTCGACACCGGACGGTACATATGGTGCAGGGTACTGCGGAAATCGCGGTGGTATGCCGCAGTATGCACGGCCTACACTATTAAATTGCGCGTGCTCATTTATTCTTTCGTTGTGTGTAGGTTTTAACTCCGGACGCACAGGAACTATTCATCTAGACGGCATTGCAGTCCCCCCGCAAAACCGCAGTCCCCAAGAAGTGCCCGCGGGCGTCGCCCCAGTCGGCACAATATGACCGCTCGCTGAAACGTCCAAAATCTGGTCTGTACTCTACCTCGGATGTTGTCTATAGTCCTGGCGAAACCCGACACCACCGAAAAAATGAAGATAGCGCCACCCCTTCCCCAAAATGGCATTACTATTGTGTTCACACAGTGCCGTGCGCGTCTCGGATTAGCAGCGTCTCACGAGTGGGACGATGGCACCGGGCGTAGCCAAACGACCGCGTCCACCGCTTTTCGGCTACTCTCGTCGAGATTCAGAGCAGGCATTGTCTTCTAGGTGACAGTGAAGAAACAGGGCCGTGCGATTTTCAAATATGCTTTCTTTACACTTGAGGTCGGGACCTGGAGCGATGCGTCTGCATGTGTGGGGATACCGTTGGAGCTATACGTGTGTAGAGCAAGAGGCGGCACGAGGCGGCACGAGCCGTCTCCTGCATTCTCGCTTGCCCTTTGCTACAGCTATTCCGGCGTTACACGTGCGCTGAAAGTTTAGCGAGACCCGTGCATTTATCATCAATTTAACATCCCAGACACCGACCTTTGAGATGAATTGTACCGTTAATCCTTAGTTCGTAAGCACTATGTAGTTTCCCTAAATATTTTTTTACAGAAGATATTGAGTTCGTTTTTGTAAGACGGATAGTTTTACAAGATTACTCGTTCAGTTTGTGTAAGTCGCCGCCGGTCTTCCTGCATTCAAGGACTCGTTCGATTGTGTCTATGCTGCCGAAGCATAGAATCAGGTTTCTGCGTGGTTTAGTTTTATGATGCGTGGTCCAAAGATAGGAAACTTACGCCACGGGAAATCATAGGACCAAAGTTTGGGACGGCTTCACGACACAGTTGGTTCTTCGTCATTTTCGCCCCCGGAAGTTCCTTCATGTTTATTCTGTAGCGCGTCTGTGACGTCACATCAAAGCAGGCTTGATCTAGAGTCCTGAAAAAAGCAAAAATGAAGAACGCCTAATCTTCACCGATGCTCTGTTATTTATCAAACCGTCTTACTTTGACGTGTTACACTACTTGACTCTATTTGAATATTGCCCAAACAAACAAGATATTTAGGAATATACCAATCTCACTAAGCGTCAGGCGCATGCAAGACGCCGCAATAAATGTAGTTTGCTGAAGGCAGGCTACATTAATCCAGCTGAACACCAATTTAATCCAAGCGTCAGTAAACTTAATTTCAACGCCATTCATTTGAATTCACGAGTCACTCAAGTTAATCCGTTCATATCAATGAATTAACTATGACTAAACTCATATGTGACATCCGTTTTTGAGGTTTAAGTTTCTTGCAAGTCATGAATGGTTTTTCAGTCTTTATGCGTATTGCGTAACTCGTTCTAACGTGAATTTTGAGGGAGTTTTTAGACCACAATACCTAAGCTCGTGACTGAATGGTGGAGATTTTTTTTTGTCGGTTTTAGAATAGTAACGAAAATTTTGCCAAGGCTTGACAGTAGCAGCTTGTTTAAATAATTTGCATTTAAATTAGATGTATGCAATCAATAGCATGAACATTTCCATTGCAAATCAAGATGCTGATTTTCGACAGCGAGTATTCCACTCCCAAATATGTGAGTTACTTGTCTTTAGTTTGAAGGACAGGCATAAGATTACGGTCATAGGCCAGGCAACTAACACGATGACTTTTCTGGGTTGCTTTTTGCGTCGCCGTTTAGAGCACCTGCCATCGTTTTTTTTTTGAGGGGTAGTGTCAAGCCGCGCGAGTACGGCTGGGCAATGCTCACTGATGTAAGCTTTCACGCCGGACTTAAACTTGGAAAACATATCTTTAGTCAGGTTCAAGAGCGGACTGTATGGCGGTAAGTACTTCAAAAAGTGCCCCAAGGACAAGGCGGCGTATGCGGCTTGTCGATGTGCGGGAGCGTTGCCAAATATAATGACTGCATCCTGGCCTGGAGCTGTTGTCACGACCGACCTCGAAACTTACTCCAGGAATTCGGGAAAAGTCGACCAAGACATTTTTTTCACACTTCTCCGCAATAGAATCCCGTCAGCAGTCATGCATCCGAGGATGGTGATATGGGGCCTTGTGTTATATTTAGTTCTTGAGACGGAGTTGTTGAGGATCTTTCTCGGTTAAGAATTAAATAGGCCGAGCAGTAAATGTCGCACCGTTTAATGGGTCGTTATCATAATTCAAGCTATAAAAAAAAAAAAAAAACTGCCTTGATGTTGTCTTCCCTATATCGGAGTCGTGTCCACTTCATCCTTCTTGATTTTCCACATGCTCCCGAGACGGAGAAGCGTAATGTATTTCAAGGAGATATAGCTTTTGAACTGGCCTTTGAAAAACATTTCCGTGATGGTCCCTGACGATGCACGCTCAAACGTGACCATCTTTCCCTTTGACGGTGTCTGTAACTTTTACCAGTTTCTAGAAATACCGGGGACAGTTCTTTTTTTCAAGAAGTACCAAGTCACCTGCATCCAGGTTTGTGGACTTGATATTGGGGTAGTGATGAGCAGATTGTAGTTCCAAGATGTATTCTTTTCTCCATCTAGACCAAAACTGGCCTAGCAGTTGTTGTCGGTATCGAAGCTTCTGAATTGCTTGACGTTGTGTGAGGGGCGTCAGAATCTCGTCCGTGCAGTTCATTTCTGGTAAAACAGTGAAGTTTTGTCCAACCAGAAAGTGAGCCGGGCAAAGTGGTGCTGGTTCGTCAAATTCAGAACTGACGCATGTTAAAAGTCTCGAGTTAATAATAGCCTCCACTTCAGAGAGCACTGTTGACAGCTCTTCGAAGCCCAGGCTGCATTTCCCCAAGACTTTCCTGAGTGGTGTCTTTACTGAGTGCGCCAGCCGTTCCCACCACCCTCCCCACCAAGGAGCTCTTTCAAAAATGAATTTCCACCGTATTCTGTGTTGAGCAAGGTAGGAAGTGACGTCTGGGTGGTTCAGGCTTGTCAGGATGTTCCTCAAGTCATTTGATGCCTTCTTAAATGTTTTAGCATTGTCGGAGAATATCATGCTGGGTACTCCTCTGCGCAAAATGAAGCGCCGAAATGCCAAAAAAAAAAAGGCGTCAGTTGAAAGATTAGTTGATAATTCCAGATAAACCGCTTTCGTTATGGCACAGGTGAACAAGACTATGTAACTCTTAGCATCGTTCATCTTTCCGTTCCGGTTTTTCGCATAGGGTGGTCCTGCAAAATCCAATTCCGTTACCTCGAAAGATTTTGTTTCGTTAATTATGTCGGCTGGAAGTGGAGCGAATTGCATCTGAGTCGGTTTTGTACTGAACCTACGGCACTTAGGACATGTACGAAATATCTTCTTGGTTAACTGTCGTGCTCGAAGTATCCTGAATCGCTGTCGCAAAACAGTCATCGTACTAGTCATACCTTCATGAAGCCACTGGTTCTGAGCATCCAGGACACTCAGTTCTGTACAATGCTTGTCGTTCGGCAGAATGATAGGATGTTTCACCGCACTTGGAGCGTGCAGCTCATGTAGCCTTCTTGTTACCCTGAGTGTACGATGTTCGTCCTGAAAGGGATGAAGATCAGCCAGGGGTGAATGTTTTTCCGCTTGATGGTCTCTGGTCAGTAAGCTGACTTCCCTTTCCAAGTCTTCGTTTTGAACTTGCCTTATCCAATATTATTCCGCTGCGGCACACTCAGCAGCTTTCAAGTGTCCTTCTTTTCTTTCCCGATTTTCGCTCCTGCAATTGCTGGCAAACCTGATAACTCGGGCTGTAACTCGAAGCAATCTAGAGAGGCTACTGTACTTCGTCAGATCAGGGATTGCCATCGCTAATGAACTTGCTGTTTGAAGGTATACTTTGGTGATGTAGTGCTCGTTGCTTTTGAGTTCCAAGTCAGTACGTGAAGTAGGTAGGTCTTTTGGCCATTCAACTGGATCTTGAACAAGCCTGCTGGGTCCTTTGCACCACATGGAGCTGTCCCGCAGTGCTGCTGCTGATTCTCCTCGCGTGAGCAGGTCCGCAGGGTTACTGTTTCCAGGGAAGTGCCTCCAGTTTTCGGAAACATTTTGTGATTGGATTTCTAGTACGTGATGTTTTACAAAAGGCTTTCCTCTTTCTACTGAGCCCTGAATCCAACTAAGTACCACAGTGGAATGCGTCCACATGGTATATCGAAAGGGAATGTCAGGGTACGTCTCGCGCAGGTAGTCTAGGGGCCTTGTACCAACAACAGCTCCCATCAGTTTCAGACGCGGTAACGTTATTCTTTTGATCGGCACAACCCTTGATTTAGCTGTCACTAGAGCCGTTAAATTTCTCCGCTTTGAGTTTCGATTCACATGCAAGCACATGCTCCATAGGCTTGTGCACTTGCGTCTACAAAGATGTGCAGCTGTGTTTCTATGACTTCTGTCAGTTCATTCTTGAGGTGTCTTGGAACTAAAATACTGTAGAGCTGAAACAGCTCAGCGCACCATTCTTCCCAGTCTCCTCTCTGGCGCTCCGGAAGGAAGAGTGACCGCATATCCCACCCGTAACACGGAGTACTGGATGCTACAAAAATACAAAACAACATATGGCGAGCAAATGACATCATGTACACTACCTAGACTACTTAACCTTCTCCACATCGAAAACATCCACCCTCTTACCATGTCATTTAAAGACCTTCGAGCATTCTTTTCTTCTAATATGAGTGTGTAGCAAATTCATGATATTTACCTTTTGGACAATACTAACATAAATATTACCTTACTTTGTTGATTTGAACTGTGGTTTGCGTATATGTATTCTTTTTCTGTGAACATTCTTTTACATTAATTTTTGTCTTTTTTGTTTTGTTTTCTGTGCCCCTGGCTGCCAAATGTAAGGACGGGGGGCCGAGGACTTGTCAAGCTGCATGATGCAGCTTTTTTCCTCGGTCTCCCTCCGTCATACACTTTTGACGGAAAATAAAACATATTATTATTTTTATTTCATCTCATTTTAGTTTAAGCCTCCACAAACTCTGGAATAGAATCTTTGCTCGTATCGTGAAGGGTGTAATCAATCCCATTGGACCGAAGACTCATTACGCTGCTGGTAGCACATGCCGTTTAGTGTCTCGTTTGTTTTGTAGAAATGAGATAAGGCTATCCACTGAGAATTTGAAGGAATCGTTGGCCTTGTCCCAGGTCATCCCCAATACTTTCGAGATCCTCGAGAATCTTCTGTCAGTGTCTTCTGCTATTACGTCTGTCTCTATTTTCTCCATAATTTGCTGCAGTTGAGATCGTTAGAAGACGATTTTCTTAGCTTCATGCCTGCATCGTTCATGATGATCTTAGAGATTTTATGCCAATTCGGTTGCTTCTTCCAGCGTATCTGCACCCACAAGAAGATCGTCCACGTCGATTGAGCTCTGTAATATTTCTGCAATACTCTTTTGATCTCTAGTGACGTTCTTCAGATGATGCTGTATAGTTGCAGACAACATAAACGTTCTCGACGTGGCTCCAAACGGAACTCTTGTCATCCGCCATTCCTGAATGCTCTGAAATTTCATCTGGGAAAGAAGCTCGACTTCAAACCACAGGAACCTGAATGCGGTGCGATCTTCCTTTTTAACTTCAATTTGTAGAAACGCTGTCTCGATTTCTGCAGTTAGTACAATCGCATGCGCTCTAAAGCGAAGAAGGGTTTGAAGTATTTCTGGATTCAGGTTGGGATTTTTTTCGAGGAAGTGATTAAGCGGTTCGCACCCTTTTTCGTGAGATGAAGCGTCAAACACCACCCTCAATTTCATGATAAAAGACTCGCCTTTGAGGATTTTCCGACGTGGCATGTAATATGTTCGTGTCTCAGCTTGATCGTGCTGACCGAGCGGTGCTAGTTTCGCATGTCCCAACTTTATATACTGGCGGATTGCCTCGTCATAACGCCGAAGTAGATCGTCCTGGATCGAAATTCGCTTGATCAGCGATGTAGGCGAGTCGGAGCT